CTAGATTAATGTATGTACGCGTGATGATAACATTGCTTCCTCCTCTTCCAAAAATAACATGAATTCCTATAGGAAGACGAAAACGAAAACTAATTTGATATAGTTCTGTGGCTTACTTGGGTGATTCAGGGGAAAAAACTTATTTTGCATTTGGAATTGATGTCAACTAATATTTATTATCAGGTGGGGCTACCTTGTATCCATTTGACGCAATGAAGCGGAAATTTTGGAATTGAACGTTGCTTAACCAGTTGTTCTAAAATCACTTTGGGCAGTAATTTGTGGTGCAGTTTTGTGACGAGTGAATTGGGTGTTCAGGTCAAGGGGTTCCATGTTCGATCGGTTTTGTTGTTTCACTTTTTATGGCATCTCTCTTTACAGACAGAATCCAATGGAACAGTTTTGAGCACAAACTGGGACGAGGTTGGTAAAGGGAAAGTTGAGATGAAGCCTCCGGACGGTATGGAATATAAGGAATATCCCAAATGAGGATAAAACACTATGTTTTGCCTGTTTGGTATATTTACCCTGAAAAGGTTACTTTTTGATTAATATTATGGTACTCTGCACCCTACGTTAATTGCCTTGATTTTCTTTGGGGCACTGCTTAAACAAATCATTTCCCGAGTGCGGTTATTTCGTTGACACCGTCAGAGTGAGTTTCTGCCCCGAATTTAATTTTAAATGGCTCAGCTCAGCATGGCAGTTGTGGGGAACAATCTCTGGGAAAGGTTAGCATACGCTTAACAACATAAAAGTAAGCGTTTAAAATTTCGAGGCATTTTAATGGTTATGCATCTGAGGATAGGTAGGTAGGTTTAATTGCGGCCAAGGCAAATTTATGTATGCACATCGCTCTAGGAGCATTAGTACTGCTGGACTGAGATTTTCGACGGCTGAATATTGGCGCGATAGGTACTTGCTCGTTATATGCCGATGCTCGGGGAGTAATTGGTAGTCGTTGATAGAAAGCTTAGCAGTTGTACCCAAAACTAAAAGCGTTTCGATGAGTGAATAATTTTTAGAGCTATCTTGACACGACTTTGAGCAAAGCCCTATGGTCAGGAGTTATTGTCACCTTTTAGACGACACTATGGTGACGTTGAGTTGGGAGAAACTTCATGAGGTCATATGGATTCTATGAGCGGGTATGGTTGGATCAAGAACAATTTACTGACACCTCGACTTGTTCACTAGGGCTTCGTGAGGGTTCTGTAGCAGGTATGGAAGGCAATTTGAGTCTGCCATCGTTGATGATTTGGGTAACCAGGCCAAACTCCTGGTGCGTTCATCAGGGCCACTGCCGCTTGACTTTTGGTTATGTCTGCAGGCGAGAATTTTTAGGCCAATAATCTTTCACAAATAAACGAAATTATGATTGAGGAAAGTGGAAAAGAACGTCATTCGTCCTCCTTCCTTCACAATGTGTTCACATGTAGCGCCTCTATTGTGTGCAAGGAGGGCGTGTAACCGGAGTTATCATTACTTAAAGACATGGCGGTGTCATTCCGTCACCTTCGGTAGGTACTTGTGGTATTAATGGTGCAATATCAAGACGCCTTTCAGAATGTTTAATTTGACTGCTATCAAAATGTAACTCGGCGCACTAGGTCGCCTCTAATGGTCGGTGTATCTAAAGTTTTGGGTAGCTTTCACCAACCACAAATGATTCTATGCTAAATCGGCCTTCATTGCCTTACTTGACTGCATTTAGCAGGATGCAAAAACGCAAAGGACTTTCGTTCTCTATACTCATGTGTCGGGAAATTTGCTATTTACCTAAACTTTGCACTTATTAGGTCGAAACGCAGTAGCTCTTTGGTGCACGATAAGCTGAATTTCGAACCAACACCTTCACTCGATAGTGATTTAGATGTTTTCCTCTCCTTATAAGAAGCCGATTGAAGGACAGGGACATGCGGTGGTATTAGCACTGCGTTGTTTACGGCCAGTAAACAGCGCGATCAACCTTTGCACTAGGAGAAGCTTTAATCAGCAAAGTTTGTTTGAAAGTGTATTAAACCACCAGTAGAAACGTTGTAGACAAAGACCAGCTCCATCTTCTGCAAACTATAAGTAAATGAAGAGGGGTTCTCACTGGATTTGTCGCTCAATGCAAAAACGACTGCACAAGCTCCAGCTCCGTACGCACCAACAGGTACCCTTAAGCACAGCGTTAGCCAATCAAGAGTCGTTGGTCTTAATGTTTCAGTGAATCGGTGTTCCATTTTGGACTTCACTAATGACCGGTAGTAGTGCCTCTTGGCTTGATTGTTCAATATTTGGGTCCTTAGAATGAAGCTTAGAAGCTGACAAAATCCGTTTGCCATTCGATTATGCTTACGGTACTTTGTACCTCATTTCCAATTCATGTGTCTGGTTCCACATTTCCCTGCAACGAATCAGTTGAGTGTTGCATTGGTTGCAGATAATGGAATTTGCCATTTAAAAGAAAAGCTAATTCTGGAGAAACTGCCTTCCACTTCAAGTGGAATGACAGGTATGCATTTTAAAAAAATTCACGTTCAAGAGGATTTTCTGTGTAAGCTTATCCGCATAAAAGGTGTTACCTATGACTAACCAGCTTGCAACCGGTTAGTTCTCCCCGAATGGCCTTTGGTTTTAAA